GTTCGATTCCTGCAACATCTCACCAGTGTCATAACAAAACCACATTATTTGAAGGCCTGCAGTATGGTGGTTCTCGGGGAGCTCAGGTGGTTCTCGGGGAGCTCAGGGGTCGATGGACCCTCCTGGAATTCACCCACCCGTTGCAAGTCCGTCTGTGTGAAGGAGGCCCGAGCACACCCATGGTCCATCTGCCAGTCACCGCTTATAATCCCAGCTCTCAGGGAGCCTGATCTGCATAGACTGCGATGTATAAAAATACCAACAGACCGAGAGGCTTTCAGAAGGTTGGAAGGGAAAATAATTTGGGGAACAACAGGCAACGAGGGCGAAGAAAGACAGAAGCAGTGAGGGGTGGAGCTTTCATTTAGAAACAGGGAAAAATTCATCTCGCCTTAATAACCAAAATTATTAGGAGTGGGGGAGGTTGAAAGGCAAGGGGTTGGATAGAGAGGCAAAGAAAGAAAACAACTGTTGGAGCTTTTCTTCGTCGGCCTCCTCCCTTCTTTCTCCACTGCCCCTTCTTGGTGCTGCTGTGACCTAAGAACCCTGAGTTGAGCCCAGCGGAGCCTCCGTGGGCTGCGGTGAGCAGTGTGTGTTTTCTTTCTGAAGGTGGAATCGGCCCTCAGCCACCAACGCACGCCTCGCTGATTGTCACTGTGTGTGAGCCACTTCAGTGACGGTGCCCTGGTGCTGAATCACTTTCTTTAGTAAGAAAAAAGAAGAGCAGTGTTCCTGGAAGGATGAGAAATTTCCTCCGGGAAATCTGCTGCATCTAGTCAGGCATTGTGTCGAATATATCTGTAGTTCAAGCACTGAAAATTCCCAGGGGTGGAGAGCAGACCTGGGCTAGCCAGATGAGCACATCGTTCCCTGCTACTCAGGGGTGTAACACGCCTGAAATTTCAGGGCCGCTACCTCCGTCTCAATATCTCACCCAGCATTTTCTTTTTTCTTCTCCGCCCCTTGTCCTTCCTGCTTCTCTGACTCCTGATTTTGTGGAGGGTTCATTCTTCTTAAATAAGCCACCTTTTGTCTGTATTTCTGCAAGCGCCTATGGAACCAGTTTGACTGACACTTGTAGGGGTTGGTGCCTCTGTCCTAAGAGCCTCAGCCTCGACTTAGCCCATTAGAGATGGAGAGGAAAGCTTTCATAGGAAGTTTCCTGGGAAATTACTGGACAAGTGCAGCTGGTCCTATGATTTTATTTCACAATTGCTCACAGCCATGAAAGCAGACACATTTGCTGAGACGTGTAAAGGGCGATTTAAAAGAGCAGAGACGACACTGGAATTCATTGACCGCTGCCTCTGCAAACCTCCTGCAGCCTGGCCAGAGGGGAGTAGGGCTGTCTGGGGCATGGGTCTAGGCGCCGGGAGGTCGGAATCTGCTCTGGCTCAGCTGCCTGGGTTCCCTCGAAGAAGCTGCCAACCCGTCTGAAAGGAGGAGGTTCCTCCTGGTTCCTAGAGTCCGGGGTTCCAGTGTCTGGTTATTCTTACTTTATGTTGGTAATTTGCACAAAACCCCCACTCTAGGATGGTGTAGTGCACAGCATATGTTCATTGGTGCCATTCGCTTGGCTGGTAACAAAGACCCCAAACTTGCAAGCAGTGACGAGTTAGACGTGCCGGGCCCCTGGGAGACGTCCCTCTCGTGAGGACCTCTTTGGAGGTCTGCTCCCGTCTTGCCCCCCACAGGAGCCACAAAAGCTACTCGGTGTCTCTTCTCTCCACGTGGAAAGCATTCCTGAACTGTTCCTAACAATACTGTAGACTAGATGTGGCAAGCCCTCTTGTTAAAAACAATTAGAATTACTGGATAAAATAGCCTTTTTAAAATATTTAAATGTATGAGTGAGTTGGGAAGTTAGTAGGAAGTACCCAGAAGCCAAACCCTGTGTTAGAGCAAGAACCCAGGGTGAGAAGACAGTGGAAGCCGGCTTTCCCCTTGGGGGCAGTTGACAAAGCCGGTGAACTTGGGGTTGGTGAACTTGTAGCCCCAACCAGGCAGGGCACAGTACCCACCTGCGTAAAGCTGAGACCCCTGGAGGTGCACCTGCCCTGTGCCCCTTCAAATCTCCATACTATTCCTGTAAATTGATATCCTACATGAAAATCGAGCGTTTCTAGAATGACTTGTCCCCCTTTTATGGAGATAAAGCTAGCATTTGCCCAACTTTTATTTTCTATGTCTTTATCATCAATATTCGCAACTTTCAATTTGCGTTTACTCGTCATAAATATCCTCCTTTTAATAACATGAAAGCAGCTGATTCAGAACGGAGGGAATTACCTACGAAGGTGACTTTGGTGCTGAGAAGAGCCATCAGCTGTGAGTTTCTCCCTCTGGCCCCTTTTCATCCCCGTCTCTCCCAACTCACCAGCCTCTCACAATAGCTGCTGGAACACCTGCCCGATAATTTCTCCAATCAGCCAGGACTTCAACTACAGTTCAGCAGGGATTTAAAACTTCATTGTCACAAATTATGTTTTCATATCTAAATGTCACCTAAGCAATTTATTTCTCCAGTTTTTATCTCTCACAGAACATTTTTCAAATCCTTGCTTGTAGAACAAGCCCCTGACCATGGTACCGGCCTCTTCCCCAAAATTTCCCAAGTTATTAAAAAGAAAACACAGTTTCACAGGAGTCATGCTAGAAACCAAATGTTTAGTACTATAGGTAGAGGATTTAGGAACAGACTTTATTTTCTTAGGGGAATGGCTTTAAAACCCAGAGTTCTGGATGAAATGGCCTGCCCCATACAGAAGGCATTTATTTCAAAATAAGGCACGGATAATATTTTAATTCTGGTTGCCCTTTAGGGCAATAATTATGAAATGACCGAGAAAATGGGGCCATCACGCCTAGAAACGGAAGCAGACGTGCCTAGGTGTTTCCTATGCACACAGGCCCCTGCAGTCGGCACTGGATCCCAGACCTTTTTTCTTTTCTTCTTTCTTCTTCTTTTTTTTTAACTTCTTGGGAAAGAGAAGAACGTAGTATCCTCAGGCAAGTTCAAGCCGAAATGTCAGTATTAATGCAGCACTCTAAAATCTAAAATGTGACATTCTTGGTTCTTTTTCTGCGGGAAGTTGGGATTCTCGCTGTTAAGACCTTATTAAGTGGGAAGTGAACTGCACTGCACTTGTATCAGAGAAAAACCCTGAGGTTTCCATGCCTTTCTTGGAGATGAAATTCGGTGTGTGCTTGGGGTACATTTGCTCTAAATACTTTGACAGCAAGAATTCACACAAAACTTGAAATGTTGAGAGATTTGTGTCTAAACCTTTGATTTGAAATGTTAAGGCGATGATGACTCAAGAAGGTGAAATGCTGAGATGGAGTTGGGGGCGGGGGCGGGGAAGCGAGGCAGCCAGGTGCTTAGCCCGGTATTCTTAGAAAGGTGAGAAGCCAGCCTCCAAGATTGGCGCACCGTGCTCCACGCTCCAGGGCGTGATCCTGGCTGCCACAGTTCCTGCCAGGGCTGGGCAAGCCTGTGTGGCGTCCCAGCGGGCTGAGTGACCATATTTATCCCAGTCCTGAGCCTCTGGACCTCCAGAAAGAGCAACTGAAGAACCAGGACGACCTGGAAACCTTCCACAAACGCACACGTGAGCTGTGAAATGCGCTCGGGGAGGAGCCCAGCCGAAGCGGAGTCTGAGCCCCGTGTCCCCTGCCTCCTTGGCCATTTCCTTTGTGCCATATTCCGCCCCCCGCACCCCACTCCCCGCCTTTGGATGGTGTTGGATTTGACTTTTTGTTCGGCAGCATGACTGTTAATATGTTCATACGAGCAAAATGAAGTCACAGAAAGCTGTGATTGGATGAATATTACCTTTTTTCATAACGTAGGTGTTGCATTAACACAGCTGCATGTTGGAAGTTATTTTAGGAAGAAATTGGGGTGCTGGATGAGTCACGCTGTGCAGTCCTGTAGGTTGAGGATGGTCACAGGCCACTGCCAGGGAAGAGCTTCATTACAGGCAAGGGACACTTTATTCTTATTTGAGTAGCAAATAATCTTCCATTTCTGGCAAGTCAATGGGAGGAAAAGGTAGCGCATGCATGTCTGTTTCTGTGGAGAATGTTCGTGAACTTCAGCTTTCGGCCTCGTGTTCTAAGTGGGAATGAAAGTCTGCCCCAGCCATGCTGCAAACAGTCCCCTTCGGAAAGCAGGGTGACACTGTGAACCCCGAGGTTCACGTTTCCTTCTTTCTTGTTACAAACGGAGAGATTTCTCCTATGACTAAAGGGGTCCTGCAGCCCCAGAAAGCCGCAGTAAAAGCTGGAGGGGCTTCAAGTGTGACCCCAAAACTCTGATCTAGATAGAATGCCCACTGGCTGGCCAGGGCCAAGCATTCTTACTGACTTATTCAGGGAGTAATTACAAAGCAATTGTCTCCTAACTGAGCTCATACAAGCCTCATGAACTAACCAAGGGGACTCCATCCTGGCTATAGTCACCATTTTCACAATTAGAAAAGCCAATGTTTTTACAAAAATGGTAAAAAGATGCGGACATTGAGGTGTTCCCTTTAACCATGGCAATAAAAAAAGCAAAAGGTAACTGCTGAGGCCGCTGACCTGCTGAGAGGGTTGACAGCACATGTGCCGTTTCTCTACCCTTAAAGGTGCCCAATATTGGTTACATGGAGCTAAAATCTGTAACTTTTCAGAAGCCGAATTTTTCAAACATTTCACACACCACTGTAAATTATTGCTATTATGATTTCTGTTGAAAATCGTTGCCCTTAGATTAAAGTACTCCTTGGTTAGAAGCCCAACTCTAACACTTGTAGCTGTGTGACCTTAATTGGGACAAAATCTCCACTTCATAGGATTTCTTAAGGAAAATAGCAATAATGTATGAAAAGTCCTGCGTGCCCAGAACACAATGTGCTTGCAATCACTGGCAGCTATTTTTAGAGCTTCGCTGCCAGCCCAGGCTGACGTTTCTTCTGAACCCAGACCCGTGGCAAAAGCACAAGCAGGGTGAACGCTCAGATGGACGGAGGGATTGCGGGGGGAGCCCAGAGAAGGCAGAGAGCAACTCGAGGACCAGTTAGGCTCTAATGTCAGGAAACACCCTACTTCCCAGCTCTCCCGGTTCCAGCTGCTGGCGTTTGGCAGATGGCGTCTCCTTTACAAGTGAAGTAACACGTCTTTGGGGACAGGAAGTTCTCTGGTGAACGTTTCTAGTGCTTCCTGTTAATGGGTTAATTTAAAGATCAGGGGCTTTTTTTTCCTGCTGGGAAACCTTGCTTCTGAACTGGCAGAAAATCTCTTCTGTTGCTTCTGAAATGTAATCTCTAGGGTGGCAGTGAAACGTTCCTTGTATGAGCTGTGGCAAAACTATCAGGGGTGGTCTAAGGGAGGAGGGGGCGGGGAGGAAAAGGAACAAATCAGCATTTCACAAGCTGCTTCCACACCTGGGACCCACTGATTGACCCCTTTGAGCGTGGCAGTGTGGACGTTAAAACATGTTCTCGGAGGACCGTTTTGTCCCCTAGCCTCCATATCCGTCCCTATCTAGGCTTTTGCCCAAACTGTTCAGAAGCAGAATGGTGTTCACTGAGAATCCCTTTCCGTTTCCTTACGATATTGGTAAGACCAAGTGATAAAAATGCATGGAGAAAAGAGACACCGGCTCATGTGGCCTGTGCATGGAATACTCAGCACATATAGCCCAGATGAGTATGTAAAGTGATATGGCATCACAACTTTTAACTCCAGTCCTAAATCTCCATAGCATCCCCAGCTCGTCCTGACTTCCATGTTGGATGGAACTGGTGCATTCAAAGGACCATGTTGATTTGTATGTTTATCGCGTATCACTGCTGTCTTGCAGGAAGAAGGCGTGGTGAAGGAGATCGACATCAGCCACCATGTGAAAGAAGGGTGCGAAAAGGCCGACCCTTCCCAGTTTGAGCTGTTGAAGGTTTTGGGACAAGGATCCTACGGGAAGGTAGGTTCCTCTCTGACTCACCTGAGGTCATCTTGTTCCACTGTGGCTGGTCCCCATCTCGAGTCGGAAGTCCTCGAGCATCTGGTGACAAGAGAGATGGTGCAGATGCCGCCTGAACACAAAGGGAGCGTGGCTGTGCGACTGACAGGATGAACTTGACAGGCGGTCCTCACGCTGCAGGGTCCCTGCTACCTGGAACCCGGCACACGTCAGAACTGTGACCTCACTGCGTGGCTGGAATTCTGTCACCACAGACCCGTGCAGAGCGGGGGCTGCCTGTACCCTCGAGAGTATCACACACATTACCCTCTTCTAGTGGCTTCCCTGAGCTTCTTGTTTATCACCATAGTGAGCAGGTTATTGGACTCGAGCTAATGCATCTTTGAGAATGCATCCTCTACAGGTATTTTTTTAAAAGAAAGAAAAAGAACAAGAAAGAAAGAAAAGGGGAAATGACGTCCTTTGGGATTAGTCACTCAGGAGTCACTGGGACCGGCTCCTCTCCTGACCCTCCATGTCGATTGCACATTATTTTGCCTGGTTAAGCCTCAGTTTCCCATCTATAAAAGTGGGTTAATAGAGATTACTCTATGATTTAATTTGACATGAACCCCTTCTAGTAGTTGCCTAAGATGTATCTTGCATAGAGTTGTTCGTTTTCTTTCTTTTTCACATTCCAATTACAATAAAAGTGAACTCCCCTCAGGAAATGAGAAATAGCTGGTTATTCAGGGCCGTGTCCATATACAACAGGGTATCAGCAAATCTTGCCAGTTACAGGGAGAGGTGAGTTATTCCGGTGACATGTTCATTTCCCTTCGTCCTTGGTGTCATTGTTAGAAATATATCAACCCTAAAAGCATCATTTCTATAATATGAAATAAACCCTGAAGCCAGCCTCTCCTGGAGTGTAGGCGGAACAGAATCCTGCTATTTAAAGTAACTATTATTTATGGTGTGTGTACATTCACCAAATCTCTCCATTCTTCATAGGACTTTGTGCCAAAGTGAACTTGGGCCCCTGTTGATTTCATGTAGGATAAATAGTACGTTAATGATGTTCTGGGTAGCCTCTTACCACAAAAATCCGATTGTGTGCAAAATTTGTCTTTCGGCATTCTTATCAGATAGAATGTCTTTTCTGTCCCCTGTGTCTTCCCCACACAGTAATGTGGTGAGGAATGTGTTTATACTAATGTACATACAAGCATGTTAGTTTGGATCATATGAGATCACCAGTATTAAAAATTTTGTGGCTTACAAAAATGGTTATTTAATGTAGTTTATAAGGTGTTTATGGAAGTAAAGATTTCAGTCTCTCACAGTAAAATTAGCTGGTACTGAAAACACAGAAACAGGACCTATGTGATGTGGTGATGGAATGTCCGCCGTTAATCTGAAAGGTCAGCGAGAAGGAGAGGGACATGATACTTCCTCTAAGAGCCATGACTTGGAAACAGAGACAAACAGTGTCTCTCTTTTCTACCTTTGAAGATGTCGCCCACGTCGTAGCCTGAGAACGAATTCAACCCAGGCCAGCACAGGATCAGCAGGGTCCCCTGTGTCCACAGTGAAGGACGAGGCCCGGGAGCCGCAGCCGGACGGTGGTTGACTAGTCGTTGCCAAGTGGTTCATAGTTCACTGTGACCCACGCGTCTCGGCGCCTGGTGACAGCAGAGATGAGACAGTGCTTTCTGAGCTCAATGGAAACATACATGAGGCTCTGCACGTCCGTTCAGAAGCTCGACTGAATGAAAGCAACTTGACCACGTCCTCCTCGGAGGCTGGGGTGTTAAAAATTAAAGGGAAAAAGACTTTTTCCAATTCCCTCCAAATTTCAAATTTTGAATTTCAATTTTGCTTTAAAAAAGAAACCATTCCATGAAAAACCACGGGTGACATCCTGGTGTTTGGCAGAATCCTCTGGGAATGGGGATCTTCGTAAGAGTCTGTACTTCTCCTTCCTGGCCATTGTCACGTGAGAAATAAAAAAGCAAAGCTCAGAGGATAATGAGCAAGAGAAGTGAAGGGCAGAGGCAGCTCCTGCGGATGTTTAACCTCCATGAACGACCTAATTCACCAGCCCAGCCACGGCGTGTGTGTGGGGCCAGGTCAGCCCGGTCGGTCAGTGCCATTGCTGACATTGGAGGGAAAGTTCAGGGCGCCGGTGGACGAGGGTGCTGAAGTGACGAGCCAGGACTCTGGAAAGGACAGTTATTATCCTGGAAATCGTCACTTGGAAGTTCCCCGGTAACAGCCCAGAGCCAGTGTCAGGCACCTAAGAGCCCCCACTACAACTGGTATTTGTCCACTCAGGGTTGTTGGTTATGAATTTTTTATAAAAGCAAAACTAATGATAAGAGGAAGGAAAGTATGCTCTAATGCCCCATATTATTTTATTCCTCATCTCTAAATCCCAATAAGTGTCTTCATACAGAAGTAATCTTTCTTTTACTATCTATGCAGGGAAGAAGGGCGACACTAAATGTTTGCCCCCTGCTGAAAACTCCTGTTAAACACATTTCCATCTTTTGCCTCTGCTCCGAAGAGCTGAAAGCTAGTGTAGCTCTGGACTATAGCGTCCCCGGGTCACAGTCGCCTATCCCCATTGCTTCTTTCAGTCATTCAGTGACGGCAGAGGCTAAAGATGTAGAAATGAACAAAGTGCAGCCTCTGCCATGTAGATCTTCATGCTGGTGCCTGAGCCTGACCCCAAACTACTCCCAGGAACCGTCTGTGTGACTTGTCATCGCACCCCGACTGCACGAGCCCTTCACTAACTAGTCTCATCCTAAATGTCTGCTCTCTGCTCGGCCAGCCATAGTAAGATTGTCCCTGTAATAGAGGCGACACTAAACCCCAGAGAAATGAGCCCCGATGCAGGGACAGCTGAGCTGGCAGTTGAGCTGTGGCGTGTCCTCCCAACAGGAACACACACTTGCATGTGCTCTCATCTTGGAGGTCAGTCCTGCAAAGCACTGGGAACCAAGAAACCAGTGCTGGACCAGTTTGCTGGGAACATGGAGACAGCCCATGGTCCTTCGTAACCTGTTCAGACCATCATGATTTCTGTGCTGTCCAGGGAGCACGGGGAGTGGTGGGGGGGACAAGGGCCAAGGAAAACACAGCCTCATCTTCAAACAGAAAAGTGATTTACGCGTCCGTGTTGAAATGGGGAAGCAATGAAACGCTTTGGAAAATACGGCAAAGATTGTTCGGTGGTTCGCCTCAGCGTACCCTCAGAAAGTGTTTCAGAAGCATTCCTAAATGTCCGCATGCATCTGTGGAAGAGCCGTTTAGAAAGCAATCTGTCTGTAAGCTTAAGCTACTCAAAGCTAACGTTTGAGTAAAAAAAGTTCAGAATAACAGAAACTGGTTTCTCTTCAGACTCAGAGCCTCCCTGTGTGATTGGCAGTAACTCTCGGGTGGCCCTCACAGTGGGGAGGACTACAGAGGGGTATGTACAGTAAACCAAATGCTCTCCCTTCAAACTTGCGAATAGTGGTCTGTTTTCTAAACAGCTAGCTTTAAAAAATAAGAGAAAGAAAGAAAAAGAGAGAGAGAGAGAGAGAGAGAGAGAGAGAGAGAGAGAGAGAGAGAGGAGGTGGTATTACTTTTCCTATAAAACATTTAATGGGAGGTTAATGGCCAAAAACATGATGATTTTTCATACAAACACATAACGATGTCACCACAGGGTTGTGTAAATTAGATGACACTTTTCCTGGCAGCCTAGATGTCAGAGAAAATTTTAAATTGAAAGTTTTCCTACAGTGTATTTATTTTATTGGAATTCTTCTAACTCCCTTGTGTATCCCCTTGTCAGATCAAATAAGGAAAATACACGTAAAGTCTTGACGATTTCCCGCATTCTGTGTTCTCTTTATCAGGTGTTCCTGGTGAGGAAGGTCAAGGGGCCGGACGCAGGACAGCTCTACGCAATGAAAGTTCTTAAGAAAGCTACCTTAAAAGGTAAGGGTTTCAAACAGGGGCCGGCCATGTGTGAGACATAAGTGTGCTTTATGCTCTGCCCGTTATTTGAGTAAATTGCACATTCTGTTCAGCGTTGCATGCTTTCGGAAGCGATCTCCAAGGGAGTATATTAGACACGTCACTCTCTTAATAGATAATGAACAGTATAAACATTTCCCAGACTCGTCCACATATCCCTGAAAACTCGCCACCACTTTTAGAGAGAAAAGCCGTAANAAAGAAAGAAAGAAAGAAAGAAAGAAAGAAAGAAAGAAAGAAAGAAAGAAAGAAAGAAAGAAAGAAAGAAAGAAAGAGAAAGAAAGAAAGAAAGAAAGAAAAAGAGAAGGTGGTATTACTTTTCCTATAAAACATTTAATGGGAGGTTAATGGCCAAAAACATGATGATTTTTCATACAAACACAGAACGATGTCACCACAGGGTTGTGTAAATTAGATGACACTTTTCCTGGCAGCCTAGATGTCAGAGAAAATTTTAAATTGAAAGTTTTCCTACAGTATTTATTTTATTGGAATTCTTCTAACTCCCTTGTATATCCCCTTGTCAGATCAAATAAGGAAAATACATGTAAAGTCTTGACGATTTCCCGCGTTCTGTGTTCTCTTTATCAGGTGTTCCTGGTGAGGAAAGTCAAGGGGCCAGACGCAGGACAGCTCTACGCAATGAAAGTTCTTAAAAAAGCTACCTTAAAAGGTAAGGGTTTCAAACAGGGGCCGGCCACGTGTGAGACATAAGTGTGCTTTATGCTCTGCCCGTTATTTGAGTAAATTGCACATTCTGTTCAGCATTGCATGCTTTCGGAAGCGATCTCCAAGGGAGTATATCAGACACATTACTCTCTTAATAGATAATGAACAGTATAAACATTTCCCAGACTCGTCCACATATCCCTGAATACTCGCCACCACTTTTAGAGAGAAAAGCCGTAATGCAAAGATCCCACACGTGTTCTGCTGTAGCGAACCACTTGCCGAAAAGAGCATCGTGTGGGAGCAAAAGTGGGCTGTCACGGCTGTGTGTGGACAGCAGTCCAGCCCAAATTCTCTGGTCAGATGGGATTGCTGTTTTAAACAAAATGTGACTTGTGGCTGTAGTGTTTCCCTCTGTTGTCCTGGTGACTGGGATTTAGAAATACAGCCCCACACCTGGTTCCCAGCCCTCGGTGCTTCTACCCTCCAGTAAAGTAATAGCAGTAAACACAGTTCAAAATGAAGCTGTTGTCTAAAACCTCTGCTCCAAGCTCGTGGTCATCTAGACAACAGTACGCAAGAACTGAGCACCTACTGCAACTGCTCTGATCACCTCCTAGTCACAGCTGGTGAGGGAGGGGTCCTGTGCCCTAAATAGTGCGAGAAGGCTAAACACACGACACCGTCACTGGGCGGTGAGACGATGGACTGTGTTAGTCACATGTGCTCATTACCCCCCGGGGAAGAGGGCACACGCCATGCCGGGCCACACAGGTGGTGGTCAGCAGCATGGACCAGCTGCAGCTGTGGGAGGCAGGCTTTGTAGTAACAAGAGGGTGAGGTGGCCTCTGGTTCCTCAGAGGATGTGATGGGCTTGCTTGGATAACTCTGTGGGTGGGCAGGACATGGCAGCCTATTAGTCTGAGGATCAGATGAGGTCCGGCTGGTCTAGCCTATAGGGGAGCTAGCAGGATAGGGGAGGACATCCTTCAAGGGCAGGGGACTCATGGTGAGGCCTTTGCAGCCATGAAACTCAAAGACAGCAAGGCATCTCTGAATGTTTAGGTCATATGTCACCATGTCCTCAGCAAGTACACATGGAGGCAGTGCCAAGAATCAGTCATTCTCTTTGCTCAAGTCGCTTACTGTCTAGCTGGTCAATCAGATACATCCTGAACTACAGATAACCAACAATATAGGACTATAAATGCGTAGACCAGATAGATAGACATAAACATTTTAGCATTCTAAGGAGGAAAAGGGCTGTTCCAGATGAGGTCCTTCAAGAAGGACTGAGAAGGTAGGTGAGACTCCAGTCTGAATGTGGGTGAAGAGATGGCAGGGATCAGGCTGGCATTGTCAGCGCGGCCAGGGGTCCCCATGTTGGCCAGACTGGAGGCTGCCTCACAACCACCTATGTGTGTTTGGGAGGCAAAAGTTGTTCAAAATCGATCCCCAGACCCCCTCCTGACCTGCTAGATCAGAGTCTCTTAGAGCCTTGAAGGTGACTGTTCTAAAAGTCACCCCAGTGATTCTTCTGTACGAAGCTCTGGGTGCTCTGCCCTAGGCACTGAGCTTTGCTGCAGACACCTGAGATTTTAATGCCGCACTATGAACAGAACGTAATTTAAGCCGTGCTCTTTATAGTGAGCATTTTTTATAATATATACATGTATGATTATTTATGTAAAACATACGATTATATTTCTAAAGCTGTCAATTGAACTTGCCCAAATAGTCCAAGACTCTCATAATAGAATTTTAAAGAATTGTTTTGTAAAATTCCCTATACTACATTAAAGCATGGGCGGGAAACAAAGATGTATAGGAAACAAGGATTTGACTTTCTGTCCCCACCTTTTAGTAAAGGAACCTTTCACTTAAGAATAGTTCCAGAGAAGTAGAAAATTACATTAGGCAGTTTTTAGTTCTAAATCACCTGAATGTCTGAGAAACGAATGGCCGCTCTGGTCCTGGCGCCAAAGGTCAAACACGGAGTTAGCATATGACCCGGGTGTGTAACTAAGGGAAATGAAAACGTGTCCACACAGAAACTTTTCATGACTGTTCATAGCCCCACTAGC